CCCCCCCCCCCCCCCCCGGGATAAATTCAGAAACCATCGACTTTCTGTAAAGAGGTTTTATTTTTAAAACATGTTGATTACGAAACAAAACGTATTATTTATTTCAGGGTTGGTGATATTTAGATAACACGGGAAACATGGCGGATACAATATAGAAGATTTCATCAGACTAATTTACAGGGACTGTAACGTTATTTAGAGTGGCATATCCTGTTCACCGCGGTGCCCTTTAAACGAGATATCCTTGTTTTCTGACATTTTCAAATGTGGTTATTCTATAAAAGTTACTCAAGAATTTTTGCTACAGATTCAACAACGGAAATAAACAGAATTGAACACTGTCTTAGATATAAAAAGGACTATATCTTCCTTATATGGGTACTGTAGTGAATCGGACATGACAAGACATTTATCTAAAAATAGGGAGCCACTTTAAATTTTATCTTCACTCTTAAGCCACTCTCAACCTTATTAGATCAATGTTAAATTTAACCTCTGATAATTTTGTATTTATTAACTGAAATTCTAATTTCTTTTTCCTTCCGTTATAAAGTATGCATTTAACAATATCTGTGATGTTTGCTTGTTACCATTCAAAAAATTTAAAAAAAAAGTTTTCATATTTTAAAGATTTTTGATTGCACATTTCTAGTTTGTTCTTCACTTTTTTTCTAACAAGCAAGTTTAAAAATTTACGGAGTTAAAAGCAATAGTTACTATAAAATTAGTTAATATCTGTAATTTGTATGCAATGTATTGAACAGTAACATTTTTTCAATTTATTTTAGATAATTAAAAGCATTTTTCAATTTTTAAACTACCAATTTCTCTTATTTATTTTCCATAATTTGGTGCGAGTCTATATTTCAGTCAAGTGTTTATCTTAAACGTTAATTTTGGTTTACGAATTCCTAGCATACTGACAAGTGATAATAAACAAAATTCTTCTAAATATGATACATTATTTTACTTTATCTGCAATATTTTTAATTGATAAGTGAAGGGATAAACATTCTTTTCAAAGAATATCCTTTCATTCAGAAAAGAAATTATGTTATTTTCAAAACTATTTTTTAATTTTAAACATTTATCACAATGGATTTTAGTTGTAAGAATTATTATTGAGAAATGTGTGAATTTACTATTATTGAGAAGAGAATGGTGACGGATACCGAATATTAAATTGTGAATTGGTATGGAATGTGTTAAATCTTAAATATTTCTGTTTTTGTTAACTAATTCCATCCCTATACCCCACGGAATATCAAGTTTTTAGAACTTATATGTTTTAATCTAATGTTCGACACACATATTTATACATAATTTTGCAAGTATAATGAAATATATATTTAAGCTTGAAACCCAATTTTAAGAAGTCAAACGTTTGAATTTCTCGTTATACTATGGTTGTTAATCTTTTTTGAAAACGATCGTTAAACGATCGTTTTTTGTTTCGTTTTTCGATCGGTTAACTTTTAAAAGGTTTCACGACAATCTGAGAATGGTCCAACGATTCAAAATTGAATTCTGTAGAAGTTTGCTTTAATTAAACCTTCATATTTGTTATCTTAGGTGAAAATATAAGGCAAAAACGATCGTTGCCTTTTTCTAGGGTAACAAATTTGCATGTTTGATAAAAGCAAACTTCTACAGAATAAAGTTACAAAATTTTGGAACCTTCTCATATTGTAAAACATTTTAAAAGTCTAAACCACTGTCTGTTTCCTTATATTCAGGATTCCATGCAACTGTAAATATTAGAAAGGCCTAAATATGAAACCAACTTTTTGTTGCCAATATTTAAATAATCTTTTATCTCTCTAAAAGGAAAACTAGGTCGTCTTCAATTTGTTGATATAAATGGCGACCATGTATGTACAATGTACATAGAAAAATAATTTTCGTTTAGAAAATAACCCAATTCAATGATAACGCATACAGAGCGTCACATATATTAGACTATCTCCAAGCTTTAACACCAAAACATATATCGCACATAATACTTTTAAAAAAACTTATTATTTTCTGCAAGAAAACTTTTATAGCAACTTTATACATAGTTTTTAAATTATCTGATTATTACTCAAAATAGCAATTTTAAGCTATAAACGATTAAATGGATGTCGTACACACTGTACCACCCTGATTGAAGGTTTTCCTCTAAACTTGACAATTTTAAATTTTACATTTTATGTACTCAGGGTCATCGTCGTCGTCAAAACTACTTCGAAGTTTACTGGGTTACCACAAAGGATACAACTTTAGTGCCGACTGTGCGGAATTAGTTTTGTCGTTATCTTGGTATTCAGGGTTGCTTGCAAGCCTAAACTGGCTTATGAAGTTTCAAATCATCATATGTTTAGAGTTTTGGGTCGTCATTGCAGCCTCATTCTTTGAGGGTAACCCTGTAGGTGCACTCTACATCATTAAACTATAATACTTGCAATCCTTGTGAGTTACATATTTTGATTTTAAAAATTCAATGAACATTTATTTTTGAACTTTATCATATTACATAAAGTGCAGATTTTTGTATAATAGTTAGTAAATTCACAACTTTTAGGAATTTTTGAACAAATTCAATATTTAGACATTTATCATATGTATTTATATTTATCACAGAATATTTATGTTAAAAAAACATTTTATTTCAATTTTCTGTGTTGAACAGAACTTGTGTCTATTCAATATTTGTCAAAACTTATGCTTTGATCTCAAACCCTTTTTTTACCATGAATATTGAATATTCAATATCAGAACTCGTCGTTTTTACATTCTTATTTATTTATGACATGGACATTGCACATTGCTTAATAGGATTCTTAACATATAAATTCGGATTTTGTGAACTTTCAAAGGGATTTTTTTATATTAACCGGATCATCATAATAAGGATGAACCCCTATTGTTAATTAATGAATACGTAATGTCGTCTCTGAAATTTTATCATTTGTGAGTAGTTCTTTTCCGTTCTTTCTAGATGGTGGAAACTTAAGATTACAACATTTAGGAAGCATTCTTATTCTTACGCTATCAGATAGATCCTTAAAGGGACTGTAAACGGAACTTCAAGTGTTCCTTCATGTATAGAGTGACATGTCCAATGTACAAGGATACTCTTGAAAGCTTTATCTAATCGAGAATAAAGGAGCCACTTTTGTCCCTCTTTTTAAAAATGACTGATTTCCGCTTAAAGTTACAATGTAGTTAATTGTGAGAAGTTAGCAAGGAAACGACTAAACATTCTACACTATTGATAAAGGTTTAAAAAGTAATTTTGCAAATCGGACATGCCCCTCTTTTAATTGAGAATCGGACATGCTTCTCTTTTAATTGAAAATCGGGCATGCCCCTCTTTTAATTGAGAATCGGGCATGCCCCTCTTTTAATTGAGAAACGGACATGCTCCTCTTTTAATTGAGAATCGGGCATGCCCCTCTTTTAATTGAGAATCGGGCATGTTCCTCTTTTAATTGAGAATCGGGAATACCCCTCTTTTAATACAGAATCACTTTAAATTATAACAAAAGTCCCTTTAAAGGGTATTTTGCATTATTAAAGGGAATATATTCAGTTAATGTGATCCCTTTAAGTAAGAATGCAATGGGCTTTATGTTTGGCCCAACTTGGAATACAGCTCAAACATATAACTTTATATATTTCTGATTTTGTATCAGAATTTGATCAGGTTTAAATTCAGAGCAGGGTTTGGTGTTGCAATTGAATTCCATATTTTTAGGATATACATATATATAATATACTAGGCTTACCAGGCGCTTCGCGCCCATCTTCTATTCCAATTGTGAGCATTTTCTCTTTATATACGTTATAAAACAAAAACAAAAAGTTTGCGGATATTCTAAAAATATTTCGTGGATTTTTAAAATTTAATGTAAATGTAAATTTTTGAAATTTGTATTATCTATAAACATTTCCTGGGGTCACGTGATGTCCCACACAAAATTTGGGCCCATTCGGTTTTGACGTTTATTGAATACAGACAGATAGATAGATAGATAGATATACATAGAATTGTACAGTATAAATTGATGAATATTTGAAACTAGATGAGATGTTTAACTATATAGAAATCTGGAATACAATATGCAAACTAAACAATGTATTATTCTGTTTGCAGGGAGTTAGATTGTTTTCAGAAGATATAACTTTGGTGTGGAAAGATAAAAACTCATTTAAAGTGACTGTAAGTGAAATTTCTAGTGACCCTCCATACGAAGATGGCAAAGTCCGATTCACATCGATACACTTGAAACTAACATCTGATCAATGAAGATATTGTCTATATCTCAAGTCTGTTTTCCTGCAGTAGAAATGGGTGTGGTAACAGTTCGCCAATCACATTTCACCCAATTTTTGGTGAATTAACGTTTCACCCAATACTACGTTTCACCCAAATTACGATTCACCCAACTCATGTTTCGCCCAAATTACACCTACTTCAGAGTTTCACCCATGCACATGAATGTATTGCCCAATTTCCGATCATAACTCATAAACTCCTGGACCTCAAATTTTTATTGGGGAAATCAGGAGAATCATGGGAATCTTGTTAGATTGGTTAAAAAATTCTAATCTGAGTGGGTACATTCATGCATAAAAACAAAGCTGGGGTCAAATATATTAATGCATATTGTTGTAAATCCGCAACTTTTGTGCTCGAAATCTGCAAACCACATTGGAGCTCAACATGGCGGCGCAGTTACATGTAGCTAATTATATAAATGTTCAAAACGGAGGATAGCTTGGCCAGGACCAAGCTACAAGAGCTGGTTACAGTCAGACGTGCCGACCCAAACCAATCTAGAACTGAACGTCGGTCAGTCCGGATGGCAAATCTTAAGGTTTCACTCCAAACCTTCAATCCTAACTTCATCAAGGAGTTCATGTTTTGACTCCAAGTGGATGTCTAACTTGAGCAGTACTAGAATATATACTAGATATCAACTGTGTCCTTATGTATACAACTTTTATGAATCCAAAGATAAAATTTTTATATACAAAATAAAATTGGCAAGAATTTTTTTTTTGGGGGGGGGGGTGAAACTCTTAAGTAAGTGGAGTTTGGGCGAAACGTGAGTTGGGTGAAATGTAATTTGGGTGAAACGTGATTGGGCGAACTGTTACTATACCGTGAAATGCTCAAGTCGCTTTTTGCCTCTATTAAAAATAATAAAAATTATAAACATTGATATCTAATTCATACTAGAACAGACTTGTAGCTTGTAAATTGGACAACGTCATCTCTGTATGAAGGGTAACTTGAAATCACGCTTACAGATACCTTTACAAAGATTAGTTAAGTCGATACATTTAAAATGGATTTCTGAATTTTGATTATCTCCCCGAAAGAAAAGAATTAGTTGAACTTGCGTCGTATATTTAATAGTTCCCAGCTCAGGTTATATAGTTAATTTTAGGCTTTTCCAAATATTAATTGCAGTCTGCAGGTTTTTATTAACCTGGTCCTCAGCTTTCAACACTTTGGAGAATTGAATGGGTTTACAACCCTTCAATATTCTTGATATTCTTGATATTCTTGATATTCTCGATAGTTAGGTTAATGGGTCTAGTCTAAAATTGTCTATTGCATATTTTCTCATGATGAGACAGGAGAAAGCTTTCTATTTACCCGATGTATTGAATGTGAATGGTATAGTGATGAGTAGAATGAAGGAAAAAGCAGCAACGGAGATGTAGAAAACAAACAGAATTATCATAATCCACCTAAACAACAAACAAACATTATTTTAGTATTAATATTTAGATAAATCGGAAAACAAAAGTTTCTTTTTACCCCCTGTTTCGGGAGAAAATGAAACAATATTATTTGATATTTCATAAATAATACAGAATAGATGTTTCCTGTCAAATATAAGATTATATAAATCAAATCTATAAATAAAAGAACTTACACTTTTTGTTATTTAATCAAATTTTTAAAAAAAGTTTTGTTTTCCTGTTTTAAATTTCAATCAATTTTATAGCTATGCAACTTATACCATTTAAAAGTGTCAAGAAATAGAAGATATTGAAATGCATAAAAATCAGAAAAGAAAAGTTGGAAATTTATTTAATCTGTCCTAATATCTCGATGGTCCAAATTGAATGGCGACAGTACGACCAGTAAACTGTGGAATAGGAAGACGACCAGTAGACTCAAGTTATAATTTTAAAGAGTTCAATGAACATTAAAACATTAAAAGCTATAACATCAAAAACACATAGGATTTTCTAATGTCTTCCTATTCCACAGTTTCATCTGTCCCAACGCAGTTGGTTAGAAATTTTACTCTAAAAGATTTTACATGGCGTACAACGTATGGGGGAGGGGGGGGGGCACAAATAATTTTCTATGATTGATTTAGCTTTGATATATTTATAAAAGACGACGTTACTGTTTGTCTGTCAAAGCAGGTAGTTTCAATTTTAACTCCACTGTTTTTTCCAAGATGAATTTATCAATATAAAAGTTATTGTATTGAGAGGAACCCGAAAACCAATCTTTAGATTGTATGCATAATTGTGTATGCATATTTATCAACTTATATATCTTAACCATTTTGTATATTTCAAGTACAGGGTGTCCCAATAAACATGGGAATTCAGTGACGAATTCGATATTGTCTTTTAGATAATTCTTTGATTTAGTATAGATGATACCTACTGAGAAAGCTGTAATCTGTAAGAGTTTCGTCTGCTATGTTCACATTGTGTTTGTTTATGTTTTGACTGCATACGGTTGTACTTAGTAAAACAAGAAAATTACAGTATACAAACAGAGTAAACTTGTCCGTCTTCACTGTTCATCTTGCGGAGACATTATAGACACATCTTTACAGTCTTTTACCCTTTTCATAAAATAAACTCTAGCAGACAATAATATTATGGCTTTTGAAATCAGGTATTACAATGCTAATTCATAACAAAGACTATATCCAATTCGTCACTGAATTCCCGTGTTTTTTGGGACCCCCTGTATGTGACTTTGGACGAGTTTACTGTGTATAAGAGAAATATTGAAAATAAACATCTAAAGAAACTTGCTCATTATATTCACAAGTCTACCAAGACAAAACTAGTTGTTTGGTTTTATTGAAAGAAACCCTGAAACTGCTTCCTCTCAATACAATGATTGATTCTTCTTATAGTGGATAAATTCATTTCATTGTTTATCCAAAAGTGAAGCTAAATATTCGAGCCCAATAACCAAAATGGACAAAATACAAATTTATTAAATATTTATAACGTACTTCTAGTGAAAATGGCAATATAACAATAAATGTTTTTTGGCTTGAGTTTAAAATGTTTAAAAAATGTTATATTAAACGATAGATAATTTAGGAAGATTTTGAAAAAAGTTAAATATATATCCTTTTAATCTAGTACGGGGGGGGAGCTATTCGGTTATAACATTAACCCTTTATTTACCTGAAAGCTACATCATTAACTCTAGAAGAGATGATGATTCCAATCCTATCCCAGAAACAGTAGGACGGGAAGGTACATAGTTCTACAACCCTGTACATAAAACCACTACAGTACAGTACAGAAAACATACAAAAAAATGCAAAATGATATAGATCAAATCTGCACTACATCTAAGAAAATGAAACCTGTTTTGTAAATTCTTAAAAACTTTAGGTAAAAGAACTGCTAGGTTATTGAAAATTGAATTAAATGACGAACCCACTTTTTACCCCAGATTTAATGATTTTCCAATTTTACTTTAATTTTCTTAGTTATATTCGTTGCATCTCCTTAATTCTTCACAAAATATTGGTATGCAATATTTGTTTGTTTGTGTTTACTCAAAAAGTATTTGTTTGTTTATGTTTACTCAAAAAGTATTTGTTTATTTGTGTTTACTCAAACAGTATTTGTTTATTTGTGTTTGCTCAAAAAGTATTTGTATATTTGTGTTTACTCAAAAATTATTTGTTTATTTGTGTTTACTCAAACAGTATTTGTTTATTTGTGTTTGCTCAAAAAGTATTTGTTTATTTGTGTTTGCTCAAAAAGTATTTGTATATTTGTGTTTACTCAAAAGTATTTGTATATTTGTGTTTACTCAAAAGTATTTGTTTGTTTGTGTTTACTCAAAAAGTATTTGTATATTTGTGTTTACTCAAAAAGTATTTGTTTATTTGTGTTTACTCAAAAAGTATTTGTTTATTTGTGTTTACTCAAAAAGTATTTGTTTATTTGTGTTTACTCAAAAAAAAGGTTCACCTATTTTTGCGTAAACATTTAAAAAAAATGATATCCCATAATATCGTTGTTTGTTTGTTAAACATGGAGTATTTAGGTACACCATGCATGTTCATGAAACAAAAGTATTTTCTTCTTAAAAACTCAATTTATTTGTATTCAGTGACCAGATATGATCATAAAAATATAGCAAACCCTTTAAACATTATGGCCTCAAAACACGTTTAAGTATCTCAAGTTAAAGCAGAAAGAGATCTATCCACCAAAAAATATAATTTTAAATACTTTTATAAACTCACCAACTCTCTCATTCTAAAATTAATGGTTTTGATTTAGTTTATGTATCTTGTGTAATTAAACCCGGTTGAAACATGAAGATATATAGTATTTAAAAGAAATAGGAGCTCCGCCATCTAATTAACTTTCGAGGATTTAATAAAAAACGATTTAAAAATGGATATAAAAAGATTTTTCATAAGGCTAAAATTTTAATAAAATACAAAGAATTGAAAATGTCCATTAAAACCATTTACCGAAAATATACCCAAAATATAGAATCTGATTCAATTCTGTAAAAATTGGCTGTAACTAAATCAAAGTTATCCCAGTAGAGTATATCCATTCACCACAAGATATCCCTGTAGAGTATATCCAACACAAGATATCCCTGTAGAGTATATCCATCCACCACAATATATCCCGATAGAGTATATCCACCACAAGATATCCCTGTAGAGTATATCCACCACAAGATATCACTATAGAGTATATCCACCACAAGATATCTCTGTAAAGTATATCCACCACAAGATATCCCTATAGAGTATATCCACCACAAGATATCCCTGTAAAGTATATCCACCACAAGATATCCCTATAGATCCCTTTTCTGTGGAGTATCAATAATGTTGAACATCTGATCTTGATATCCAATGTTGGCACTTTTAAATTTGAAGATCAATGTTTGATCTCTCGATTAAAGTTATCTCGGGAGGGTATCGGAGTGGAATTAGATTAATCCGTAGATCTGCTTAAGATGGAGCTTAATGATTGATTTCGAGATTTGCAACAAAAAAGTTCTGAGTTCGGAACACATAATTGTATAAGATGGTTAGTATGAAACTCCCTACCTACTGGGTTCTGAGTTCGGAACACATAATTGTATAAGATGGTTAGTATGAAACTCCCTACCTACTGGGTTCCGAGTTCGGAACACATAAATGTATAAGATGGTTAGTATGAAACTCCCTACCTACTGGGTGTCGAGTTCGGAACACATAAATGTATAAGATGGTTAGTATGAAACTCCCTACCTACTGGGTTCCGAGTTTAAAACACATAAATGTATAAGATGGTTAGTATGAAACTCCGTACCTACTGGTTTGGCTGTTGATAGAAACAATGCTTGCTGTCTCCGGGTTCTGTTTCCTACTTCATTTCCGCAGTTTGTATTTCAGATCTTATTCAGATACATAGATAACAGGAGCTGCAAGAAATATACACAAGGAACCTCCATTAAACAAATATACATTTTTTGTTTAATAGATTCAACGAAAATACTTTATGAAGTCATGAATCTTTGTTTACAGTGATTAATAGTTTCTAGAAGAACTATAAACAACCAAACTAATTTGTTTCTGCAAGAAACTGCAGTACACTTTTTGTAAGCAAAATACGTAAGCTCCTATTGTATATTAATTTGAAAATGTACTATATCGGGCTGCAATATACATATATAGAGAGGAAACAAAAAATCTGAAACGTACATTTTCCTTCATCATAATTTTTTCCTTATTTTTCTTAAATAAAAACAACCCACGGGCACGATGAAATGTTATTTTCATCAAGATGGAAAGTTCACTGACAAAAAATTTGCAGTGATAAATAAAAAAAATAATCCAACCAAAATCAACTGACGAATTTATCAAGGAAAACTATAGAAGGATAAGTTTTACGAAGCAAAACTATTCATAGTTTTACACAAAAATCAATATCTATATAAATATCTATAATTGACGAATTCATATGATGGGATGAGTGTTTTTTTTTACCCTAACTCATAAAACAATCACAAAATAGGGGAAAATGGCCAAGATGTTCACAAAACATTTCGAATTTCACAATTAAAAAATGTTGGGGGGGGGTCCAAAAATCGTTCACTAGGACAGACCCGAAGAGGGGCATGTCAAATTCACAACTTTTCTCATATCCCTGAAGACAGATCGAATGCTTGCATATTTTATGCGCAAAAACGCTCGCAACTGGTTTTAACTACTTAAGCAAGAGCATATTTTGAAAATATTAATTTCTTTTTTCTTTAAAGAGGCTGTTCTGTTACTAGCATCTCTTGAAAATATCGCCTTTTTATGTTAAAAGCAGTTTTCCAACAATTGAAAGAAAATCTTTATTGTTTGCCACTTCTATAGAAAATTGATATTTCGAAGTTATAAACAAAATTTCCTTAGATTTTTTTTTTAATTTTGACAAACTTAACCTCTTTAATAAATTTAAAATAAGTTTTCAGGGTTTTCAATTTTCATTTCTGACGGCGTTAAAAATTTCACCAGGTTAATTGAAAATAGTTTTTAACTTTTTTTTAAATTTGTAATTATGAAAAATCTTCATGAATGATATAATTTCTCTAATCTTTCTATTAAGGATTCTGCTAAAATCCCATATTTGCTTTATTCTAAATTTATTCCAGATTTATTCAACCCAATATTGAATATTCTGAAATCTGAATATTATAGTTCTCGAAAATATTTTCAAATTATCTTAAACGGATTGTAGACAGAATTTCAAGTACCGTTGTGAATCAAATATGCTACTCTAAAATACTTAAATTAAATACTCTAAAATACTTAGATTAAATACTCTAAAATACTTAAATTAAATTACGTCTAAAGACCCTTTAACAGTATTTTATTCTAGAAAAATAGAATAAAATAATTTTACTGTAGGAAAGTAGAATAAAATATTTTAATCTAGGAAAAAATAGAATAGAATATTTTATTCCAGGAACATAGAATAAAATATTTTATTCTAGGAAAATAGAATAAAATATTTTATTCTAGGAAAATAGAATAAATATTTTATTCTAGGAAAATAGAATAGAATATTTTATTCTAGGAAAATAGAATAGAATATTTTATTCTAGGAAAATAGAATAAAATAATTTTACTCTAGGAAAAAAATAAATAAAATATTTTGTACTAGGAAAATAGAAGAAAATATTTTATTCTAGGAAAATAGAAGAAAATATCTTATTCTAGGAAAATATAGAATAAAATATTTTATACTAGGAAAATAGAATACAATAATCTTATTCTAGGAAAATATAGAATGAAATATTTTATACTAGGAAAATAGAATACAATAATCTTATTCTAGGAAAATATAGAATAAAATATTTTATACTAGGAAAATAGAATAAAAATATGAAAATGTGCCAAGCTAAGTTTAAAAGGGATATAGAGGCAATTGTATTCCCATCTTCTGTATCCCCCCCCCCCAGCAATATTGAAAGCAGTGAACTCGCTGCAAGAATGATTTTAAACCAAACCTTCTTAGATATATATATTGTTCACTTATTAAACAAATGTTGCACCCGTGACAGAGGAGACAGGGAGAATGATATATTTTAAATATATTTCAGCTCATCTCCTAAACTATTGATATAGGGTTACCCACAAAGGATGAGACTTCAAAGACGACTGTGCGGAATTTATACGGTCTGTTTCCTATATTCATGATTCCTTGCAACTGTAAACTTGTTCTTTTATTTGCCAAATCATTTAGTTTATAGCTATATTCAAAACTGAAGACTTAGTTAAACTTTAGAATGGTCTTTTATACGAGTTTCATGTCGTTTTAACAGTCTCATTCTTTGTGGGTAACCACTAACCCTCTGCATAATTACTTCTAATTAAATAAAACTGTTCCTTTTGCTGAATGGTGAACTGGATTGTTTGTTTGGGTATGAAGGATAGGTTGGGTTGATGAGATGTCTGGTCGGAGAAATTACTTGTATTGATTTATCATCTGATTTTCCATCAGTAGTTCCGATGCTACTCTTTCGGGTAAATATTAGCTGATTAAAGATAAAAGTGTTGCAGGCAGACGATTCATCATTCCTGGCTTTCCCATCAGAACTTCCACTTCTAACTTTCCCATCAGAGCTCCCGTTCTTTGGTTTCCCATCAGAGATACAAGTCTTTGGTTTCCCATCAGAGATACAAGTCTTTGGTTTCCCATCAGAGATGCCAGTCCTTGTTTTCCCATCAGAGATGCCAGTCCTTGTTTTCCCATTAGAGATATCAGTCTTTGTTTTCCCATCAGAACTTATGTTCTTTGGTTTCCCATCAGAGACACTATTTCTCAGATTCACTTCAGAATTTCTGTTAATTTCTTTCCCATTTGAACTTCCTAAACCATATTGATCACCAGTTTTACAGATTTCTTTATGATCTTCTTGCCCCGGGGTTCCCTTCATCTCCAAATCTTTTGAGTCGTTGATCCCTACACTATCAGTGTTATTGATCCCTTTATCTACAGAGGAATTGATCTCTAAACCATCAAAGCAATCGATTGCTTTATCTTCAGAGTAGTTGATCCCTAAACCATCAAAGTAATTGATCCCTTTATTCTCAGAGTAGCTGATCCCTAAACCATCGGAGGGATTGTATGTTTTCAGCGCTAGATTTGATTCTGTTAAACCAAATATTGAAAAAAGTTTTAAACTTGATGTATTTTTGAGTTTGTTGCCTGTGAATTGTGTAAAATAATGTTGAAATATTGAATATTTAGTTCCCTGAGGGAGACCAGATATCTCGCCTAGATGATGATTTAATTTCAAACTTTTCAGATGAAAAGCCGGAGGAATGAAAAATGGAGGTTCGAGTCGGTTTGGAAGACATTAGACATACTTTATTGGAGGTTGGTAGAATGGAGGAGGGGTGTTGAGATGATGTAACATGTTTGGAGGGTAATGGAGAAGAATGGAGAAAATTGTCGGCAGATGAAGAAGAATGGAGATTATGCGCTGGAGAAGTAAAATAATTTGTGTCTGTAGGATAGGATTTATTCATTATGGAGCTCAAACATGGCGCTTCAAATTGGCAATTAAAAGTTGTTTGAAGATCGGAATCAGATCTTTGTTCATCTTTGATCAAAGGTTCATTTAAATCTCTGAACATATTTCAATTCAACTTTAAACCAATAGTTCTTTAATTAAAATCTTAAAAAAAGTTAGAATTCTCGAGCAAAGAGAAGTTTGAAGTTTTAATTCCATGATATCGTCTAACAAACTTAGAAAGTATGCTTTGGAAAACTTAGTTTTAAAAATGTTTTGGTTTAATTTTATCATTTTGATCATTCAGTTATTTGAAAAGATTGTTCATTGAAGTCCATAAATTTTAAGCAATTTTCTTATTTTCCCAAAAATAATTTTTATTTTTAGATATTTAAAGGATCTGAGTTTTTGCCACAAACTATAATGTTCTAATCCCTATGGCGCTACGACATTTGTTCTAATTCCATTTGCTCTATGGCCATTTGCTTTAGTTCCATTTGCTCTATTAACCATTTGCTCTTTAGCTCATAGATCACGACGTTTGCTCTATATGTCATCTTCTCTATACGTCAATTGATCTATGACATAACACGTCATCTGGGTTTTCTATTGCTTTATTCAACGCATCACATTCAGTTAACCGGAAGTTTATCTGAGTAATATCTAATGGATGTCTGTGCTCAGGCAAGTTCAGAATATATTTACCACCTATGCAAAGTTTTAGCCACGGCAGAACAATTCTGCCTTCTATATTCAAGACATCTCCAGTACTGAGAGACACCCTGTTTGTTTAGAGTAGAATAAATATAGTTTTCACCACATATTAGGTTTTTTTTACCCCTCTTATTATTGAGCCGTCTCTCTGTCATGATGAACTTTGAAGAACTGATTAAAACTGCAATTTGCGAATTTTCCAAAAAAAATTCTCGCATTTCATAGTCAAGTTACGCTCAGGAATTCAAATAAAAGCTATTTTATAGTGCATTTTTAGGTTATAGAGCAAATGACTTGTTTAGTCATACAGAAAATGAGGTATAGAGCATATTAAATATAGAGCAAATGACGTATAGAGCAAATGACTTGATAGATCAAATGGAACTAGAGCAGATGTCGTAGCGCCAATCCCTATATTATTTGCAACCTGATGGTGTAAACCTTTTATATTTCGAACTTAGATTAAATTGTTCATTTAACAGAAATCATAGTTTGAAATATCAAAGGTCTCCTACGTTGGGTTGCAAAGATCAGAAAATCAGAGTAAGCGGCAGAGACTCAATTCCTTTATTTTGTTAAAATTGTTCAGTGAAGCCCGAAGCCATAAATTTTAAATTGTTTTTTTCATTTTCCCCAAGCTAAAGATTTATTTTATTTTTGTTTTGCTTTTTGTACTAAAAAGTTTTATTTCAATTTTAAATATCTGAACCATTAATATTTTGTTACCAAGATACCATGTTTTCTTCCAATATAAATAATTCTGGGAATCCCGAATTAGAATGGGCCCAGCACTCAGGTTTTTAGAATTTTTCCTATTAAGCACAAAATCGTAGTCCATGCTCCTGCTCCAGTCAAACACACTCCCTGACTAACTTAATTCTGTTTACAATTTTTTTCTCGGCCAGAACTAGTTTAATACAATAACATGCAGAATTCAACTTTAGTACACAATTTTGAAAAATTATGACCAGGGGGGATGATAGTTCTCTACCTGTGTGCTCAGTTAGCAGTACAGAGCTGGGAACTTTTGAATGGTGGATATCGGGATTAAGGCTTAATCCACTCTTTTTCTTAATCTCCAGATTAACATAATCTTGCAAGATTATCTTCAAAGTGTATGAAAAACGATAAAATTCAAATTAATATTTAATCATCTGAAAAACTGTAGCAGCCAATCAGAGAAAAGCGGGCAACCAATGAGAGAACAGAAATATTCTCATTGGAGAAAACAATTAACGGATATCCAAGGAGAGAGAAAATGAGTGGATTAAGGACTAAAATGAAAAGTTTCCACAGTGGATATTCGGATAAAGAAGTCAGGATTAAAGTTTATCCATTCTAAAATTCCCAGCTCTGTACACTTACCACTGTTTACTAATAATTATATATTATAGGTTAGACCAGAATCTATTTATAATAAACAAATATGCAGTACGCTCTCGGTATAGTTCCTGGCTTATACAATTAGTAAAGGATTAGCGTACATCATCACTCTATACACTATAACCTCGTTAATTATGACCGAAAAGTATGAAACTCATAGAGAATAGAATATATAGAGAGGAATTTACTAGAAAAAAGTGTAAAACGGCCATTTTGTTGTACTGTTTCCATACTGCAGGTGTACTTCACATATTTATGCTATATAACCTGTTTGGCCCTGGAATATCATTTTATAGAAAATCTAAAATTATTGTTAAAAGAAAACCAAATTATGAAATAGGCTGGTTTCATAATTGATCAATGATCATTTCACATTGACTCTATGCCTTCCACTTTACAAATAATGATGTTCCGTTATAACTATAAATCAAATGATGTTTTTATTCACCTAATTCATTATAAAGTTTATTTAACAGTTTAAAAAATTCGAAATTGAAATGGATAGCCTAGGGAACATACTGTATTAATGTACTCTACTGCATATAATTTGTGAACATTTACATGATTTGTACACTTTGAACTCCCTTTCAGGCTGAATGGGACTGAAAAAATTCATACCGAGAGATTCTTTTAATTCCTCTCTATATAAACTCTATGATGAAACTCTAACAAGTGTGCTCAACTAGGATGTACTGTACATTACGCCTACGGTAAATCTGACCCAGTTGACATAGTGGTAATTGACAAAACTGATTATTTTGGTTGTCTTTACATATTGGAATTAGCAGGGTTCAAACTAATATTTGAAAGTCTTTGACGTGAGTAATTTTGAGTTAAAATAAAAAAATGTTGAATTGATATTCCTTGTTGACAACGAGGATTTATAAAACCTTCTCCCGGTCCAATTCCTCCAGTCAAGTAATGCCTTCTCCCTGTTTACACCTAGAGATTGTTTATATAGTATCAAGAAGAACTTACGAGATGGTCAGAGTTTTTACCATCTATTTACTTTGTCGAGTGGGGGGAAAAAATAACCTTTTAAGATTAAATTTTGTGCTTTAAAATTGCGACTTTCAACAATCCATGTTACAAAATTATTTTTACATTATTTGTAGTTGTTTACAATATTTGTAGTTGTTTACAATATTTGTAGTTGTTTACAATATTTGTAGTTGTTTACAATATTTGTAGTTGTCTACAATATTTGTAGTTATTTGTAGTTGTTTACAATAATTGTTCACAATATTTCTTATTGTTCACAATATTTCTTATTGTTCACAATATTTCTTATTGTTCACAATATTTCTTATTGTTCACAATATTTCTTATTGTTCACAGTATTTCTTATTGTTCACAATATGTCTTATTGTTCACAATATTTCTTATTGTTCACAATATTTCTTATTGTTCACCACAATGTTTCTTATTGTTCACAATATTTCTTATTGTTCACCATATTTCTTATTGTTCACAATGTTTATTATTGTTTATAATAATTTTTAATGTTTACAATATTTTTATTGTAAATATTTGTTATTATTTAAATCAAAATGGTTTTAAGCTGACATGGCACACTAACAAAACTGAGCTGTCTTTCTTCAGAGTTGAAAACCTGGTCAAAACTTTAGAATTGCAGAATCTAAATTAGTCTATTTGATCTGACAGAATTCTTTGTTTGAAATATCAAAGGTCTACGACATTGATTTGCAAAGATATAAGAATTAAAACATTTAAGTTTGCGGCAAAATTTAATTTCTTTTTAGATAAAGTTGCCACAGTGGAATTAATCATTGTAGATCAGCGCTATATCATACAAAACTGTGAACCTCTGTTCTCCTTGAATATGCAGTTTGTAAAGAGAGTATACAGAGTGTTTACAAACCGAACAAACCCCTCTATTTCTATTGTGCATATAAGTGCGCAGTATTCAATGTACACAAAGTGTCGGGAAAAAAACACAAAATAATGAAAATATCAGAACAGAGAACTGAGTAAGAAACCATCATCGTCAAATAAAAACTAATAAAACTCACTTATCATAGAAAAAAATTGAATATTTATCATATTTCTTATTTTAGAAAATTAATTTTAATATTTATTTAGAAACTATAAATAAAGCATAAAATCGAGTTTACATATTCTTTAAAGTTTTTAGGCTTGATTTTGTAAATTAAATAAAAAAAATGCCTAACCTCTAAAATGATATTTTGAAAGACTTCCAGCGGATTTACTGTTTTTCAGACGACCTCCTACCAAAATATACAGAATTAAACAAAAATATTTAAACTCTTAGAAATATATAAAATTACAGAAATAGATTAGAAGTGTTTTAAAAAGAAGAAATTTTAAAAAATAAAAATAAAACATATTTAAATGCCTGAAAAATTCTTTAAAGATTAAAAATGTGTAAAAGAAGGGAAAATCATTGAAAAGGATTAAAGTCATATAAAAATTTATGTGAAATACAAGATTGAAATATTTGAAAATAATATTTAACAACGCAAAAATTTTATAAAATATAAAAAATTAAAATGTATGTATGAGGATATCTTTGTAAATATATGTGAAAATATTCAAAATCCAAATGTAAAGTAAACAAATAATATATAAGAAGATGTAAAAATTTACCGAAAGGAATAAAAATTAAAAAAAGACAAATTCACTCAGATTGTTATAAGAGCAAAAATGAAAAATAAAACTTTTTGCCCCTTCTTGTTTTTTTGTTTATTTCATGGATTATTCTGAAATATGATCTCTTTAAGAATCTCAGACCTTGGATAATTTGGTTGCACAATAAATTTTCACCACAAAATTGTTTTATATTTACTAAACTTAAATTATAAAAATGGTCAAAAGGAAAAAAGGAGACAAATTATTGTCGACGCACACCTACATTTCTACATTTCAAACTAAATGATCCGAAACATCTAGGATGGACGTCATGAAATCCCTCCAACAGAATTATATTCATGGAGTAATCAAATCTACCAACACCGAGACCCCTCTCTAGGAACCTCAGAAAACATGCACCAGAAGTTCACCCTGCCTACAACAGGGATTGTAATCTCCAGCACACCGATCAACCACGTCCGCAACCCGGATGTAACCCTGAACAACAGCAATACCATCCTGACCAATCCCAATCTTGCCGACCACCCCATCCTGCCCCAAACCTCTATGTTCCAACGCGCAATTCATGGGAACAACATCCATAAACTGTTAGCCATTGACAAATTGTACACTTATTACCTGGAAAACAAATTGGAATCTACCTTTACGACTGCTCTGACCTAAATGAAACCTGATAAACTGCCATGGACATCCTCAACTCCTTCTGCAGCTCACATATTCCCGTCCATCTCTGGGATTTCTATGACCTACTGGAATTTCTGTCTCGCACAGGAGAATCAGAAAAATCAGGAGCAGGAGAATCAGGAATAGGAGAATTAGGAAAATCAGGAGCAGGAGAATTAGGAGAATCCGGAGTAGGAGAACCAGGAGAACCAAGAGAGCCTGGAAAACCGGGCGAAATAAGATCACCAGATCCTTTGACCGAACCCCATCATCCAACCAAACCAGGAGCAGGAGAACCAAGAGAATTAGGAGGAGGAGAATCAGAATAATCAGGAGCAGGAGAATCGGGAGAATCAGAATAACCAGGAGCAGGAGAATCAGAAAATTAGGAGCAGAGAATCGGAATCAGGAGAATCAGGAGAATTAGGAGCAGGAGAACCAAGAGAATCAGGAGCAGGAGAATCAGATAAATCAGGAGAATCAGAAGATCCAGGAGCAGGAGAATCAAGAGAGGAGAATCAGAAGAATTAGGAGCAGGAGAATCAGAAAAATCTGGAGCAGGAGAATTAGAATCAGGAGAATTAGGGTCAGGAGAGTTCATTGAATTCCCGTTACAGGGTTTCCAATCATATTTAATTTTCATTTTTCAAAAAAAAATTTCCAAGGAAAACATAATATCTTTTCATTCAGTATAATTTATTAAAATCAAGTTCATTCCAAAGATTTAAATCCAAAATACAATTTCAGAATCTTAATTCTTATATTTATTACAATTTTATTTCACTTGATTTGAGAATAACAATATGAGGAAAAGATGTTGTTTTAACCTCATTATATAAACCCGGTTGAATTCACCCTCAAGACATCACTCGGATCACGTTAAAATCGTGAGCTCAAATATATAGTCATGCACCGTCAGTCAACTTTCCCAAGTTACAAAATGAGCAAAATATTACGCTATACATTAATTTCATCTTATTTTATTAATTTTGTTTACTTATCCAACAATACAACAATTTTAACTTTATTCTCAATAATTTTATTCATTTATTCAACAATACAGCAATTTTAACTTTATTATTATTAATTTTATTTATTTATCAAACTTCAAGTCTCTAATCAGTTCAATTCAAATTAAATCTTCTCTTTACATGCCGATTATCAACATTCTTTCATTATTTAATGACACCAATTCATGACAAATTAATGTAATGCAATCATTATATTTTGTTCTTAAAATAGTAATGTTAATTTATACCTATACCATGACATATACCTCATCTTCTCCTTTCCAATTCCTGTCAATCAATCAATCTCATTTATATTCACCTTTATTCTCATATTTAATCTTTTCATCCTCAAGCCCTTGGCACCCCCCAATGTTGATCGTAAATACAACTTCTAACCCCCCCCCCGTAAGCTTATATTTTCCGAATTATTTACAAATGTTTTAATCTATCCAAAAAAACCTCAGCCCCTTAATCACTCCTTTTACTCCGACACGGAAAACTAGTAAGATATATTATGAATTTTTCAACTACATTAATATATTATCATTTATTTTTATTATATCTGCATTCTATTGCAGGTTTGAAATATATCAGTTAATGAAATTATTTGCAACTTGTGTCAGAGTTGAGGAGCCCGACCAACGAACCTATCAACCAACTGACAACCAACCAACCAGCAAACCTAATAAATTATTGCCGACGCCCACCTACGTTTCTACAAGTATGTATGTAATATATATGCTGCACTGTAGTCACAGAGTTATACAGAATATCTGAAGAGTGAAATTTAGTGGGAAAAAAGTGAAAAACCGCCATTTTTTTGAACTGGTACCGTACTATAAGCGTACTGTATACCTTTGTGTTCTAAAATACTTAGTGCCCTGGAAAGACAAACTATTACATCCACTTATAAACGACAATTTTTTTTTTATGCTTTATCTAAACAAATTTTACGGTATTGTTGTGATGTTTTGCGCACAATTTATGAACATATTACATGAAATGTACACTTTGACCTCCTTATTTATCCTCTATAAAGTATTCTCTACTTTGAGTCGATTTAAGAGAGCATCATTGAACGAAACTCCCCAGTTTCCTTTTTGGGGTCTATACATTTGCGTAGATTTTAATATTAAGAAAATGAAAAAATAAAATAGAATGGAAAGAAACCAATTAAAATAATAATTCATAACAAAAAAAATGGTATCTACAAAACTGCTTGACCCCATTCATGAAAACGGGTTTCCGATACTGGGTTTCATGGTGATACTACAGAGCGTCCCATATCATATTAGACTATCTCCAAGCTTCAATGCCAAATTAAACCCATAATACTCGAAAAACCTAACATTTTCTGCAAGAAAAAATTTATATAAGCCTTATTCAATTTTACGAAATGATATATTCTTCTTATAATTTCTTATTAGTCCCAAAAAAACATAATTTAGACTAATTAACGATCTAATATGATATGGGACACCCTGTATGTCCTAAGTTTTGGGCTCTGTGTTTAATGTACAACTAGCCTTAGCTTCCTAAAATTTAGTCATGTACTTTCAATGTAACGTATTGTTGTATATATATCTCTAATTTTCTAAAAACCCAACCCCTATATAAAATTATATTTCTCTTTGAGAACCTAAAAGAAAACTTTATAAGTTGAACCATCAAAGAAGCAAAATTGAAATTTATTCATAAAGTCAAAAATCATTTAATACTTTTTTTGTGTTAAGATAATCAATAAGAATGTATTTTGAACCCTCATTAATTAAACTTTATGGATTAGAAACAAAACAATATTTTTAAAAGTTTTATTTGCAGGGTCAAACAGTCTATAGGAGTTCCCAAAGTTTGAATTTAAATTGTAACCATCAGTATAATCTGATTTAAGAATTAAGTTCTTTAGCTTAAATTATGAGGTTGCAAGAACGGCAAGAAGTACATCGTTTAAGTCATTTTTAAATGCCTTTTTGAATAAAAGGCTTGCACCTAGTTATCTTTTAAATTGTGAGCTGTTTTAGATCATTTCTGAAGAGCTTAATTATCTAAGAAAACTTTTGAGCACAAATGTGATAAAAAGAAGTAAGCGGAATTTTCTGAATTACCAATGATTTATACCATTTCTAATACAAGACCTTTCAATGAGAGAGTTTAGCAATAAAAAACTCTAGAACCTCTGGGGGCACTGCGCCACCCCCCCCCCCCCCCCCAGTCTTTTAAGGATTAAATATTTAGAATTTTCATTTTCATCAAGTTGAACAATGGTTCAATAACATTTTATTTGAAAATAAATACATAAATCTTCGAATAAATAAATTTATGGAATTTAAAAATTTAAAATTTCTATTTGAAAACTGTGCTCTTTGTACAAACCTAAATCTGTGTTTGAAGATTTTAACAAAGTTCTTGTTTCCTGATTTCCCTGATTTTCCGCATCCTCAATATCCTCTATATCATCTATATCCTCAATATCCTCACTATCCTCTATATCATCTATATCCTCTATATCCTCTTCATTATCTAAATAATCAATATCCAAGGTAAGCGGTGCACATAAATCTGTGGTAAAGAAAGACGATTTTGATTTGATTAGTCAAATTAACAGGAAATACAACAATGTGCAGTGAAATATTTTCACCAGTTTCTGAGCAGTCCAAATGCGTAGCAATAAAAGATACACAAACCCTATCCTCCGTATCCTTAGTGTACATCAATTAAATAAAGTAAATATCTATCACTCTTTGACAGTATCAAACACTTGCAGTATGTATAAAAAACCCTTGAAACTTAATAATTGATGAATAAAAAAATTGAAAAAATGTATTTTGGGGGAAAAATAAAAACCCTGGAAAGAGAAAGTGAAAACGAAAGAAGAAAAAGAAAAAATTTAATATTATGAAAATGGAAAGTAAAAAAATTTAACTTCTATATCTCTAAAATCTCATGATATAAACCTTAGATATTTCAAACAAAGACGATTGTATCAAACAAAATTCAAAGTTTTAAAAGAAGAAAAAAAAATAGTTGCTTACCGCTTACAGGGGGAGGGGGTGAGACAATCGCTCTCCCCCCCTTCCCGCCCCCAAGAAAATATCAGGAATTGGTGTTTGTTTTGCTTAGTCAGATGCATTTCATGAGTAAGCAATTTAATACAGAGTTCCAAAAAAAGAAGCAAGATCTTCTCGGCTAGTTCAATTCAATACAGAGTTCAGAAAAAAGCAAAATCCTCTAAAAATAGTTTTTTCTTGTAAAGTGGCGTACTACAAGGACATCCCAAACATTTTTTTTTCAAAATTAGCCAAAATATGATTAAAAGATGTACGAACAAGAAGAAAATAAAGAACAAGAAATATAGAAATATCAAAATATTTTCATCTGATATCACATAAATATTTAAAAATATTGTAAAATTTATTTAGAATAAATTATTAAAGTTAAAAATAGTTTGAAAAATCCAAAGTCTGCAGCATGGTGTTGCAAAGATATAAGGGTTATAAAATCTGAGTTTGTGGCCAAGACTAAATTCTAAGAACTCAGATTAAACTTGTTGATGTTCAAATTAAAAAAACAATTCAGATTTTTTCAAAAAAATTCTGAAAACCTTTTTTTCTCTTTGGTTTAACGAACAAGAAAACATGAATATCTAGAGCAATTATTGGATTCAATGGATTTTTTATTCAAAAATATGAAAAGGTTCAAGGGAGGTTAATGTTTAATTCAAATGAAAAGAGATAAAAGTTTTTAGTGCCATCACGATTAAAAATTGAGATGCTTTTCTTTCAATTTTGCATTTGGGTATATCAAAAAATGCTCTATGAATAGCAAAATCTTTGGATATAACATTTTAACCTTCATATTCTTCCTTGTTGGATCCAGGATCTGGATCTGAATGAAATTAAATGAAGCTGGCCTTAGCATTGTCGTACAGATGAAAGGGGTCAAAAGTGGACGAAATAGTTCAATCTTCAAGCAATTGTTGATTAAAACAGTAGTTTTAGACTTATAGACCAAAAGATATGGTTTTAAATGGACTAATGAGATGCAGCAGTTTTGCTTTCTTCACTGACCCATTTTTCTTAACAAAGTGATTTTAAAGATTTGTATATGTATGTAAAAAAAGTCTTAAGACATTTGGTACATTCGTATCCTTTGTGAATAACCCTGTAAATAAACTGGATTTTCATAAATAAAAAATAATAATAAATAAAAAATTTAAAAAATCATCTTTTTATTTATAAATACTTTATTTTAATATTTAACTATTTAGATATTTGCTTACCTTTATTTTTCAGCCCACTAAGGACATAATAATAATGTACCGTCATTATAAAAAAAAATTCTAACTTAGAATTGATACGCGTTTAGCTTATCATGCTGGATTTTGTTTTTAGCCTGTTTTTTACATTTAATTGTTTGGGGCCCGTGGAAGCAGGGGCGGGGGAAAGAGGGGAAGGGGGGAAGGGGGTTAAGTCTCAAAGTTTTAGTCTTTACAAAATATTAGCATATTACCTAATATAAAAATCTAAATTTTAAATCTCATAATTATAATTCTTTTAAAAACTTTTTACGTTTATGAATGTTTTAAAATATGGCATAAAGCAGATCAGGCTCAGTACTATTTAAATATGCAAAATAATTATTTTTAAATATGTAAAATTAGAAAAATCAAGTTTTATACATTTAGATTTTTAAAGTGAGTGACTGGCAAAGTATGGTATTTGAACTGAGAATGTAGTATTATGGAGAAAATTATAAAGATTCATTTGAGACATATAAAACGTTTTAATAATGTATAATTATTGAGTTTGAGTGCAAACTCGACCTTCAAAATCGTCCTTTTGGGTGGTTACGTTCTGAGAATCGATTTTTTAAAAATATTAAATAATGACGACAAAAAATGTTAAAAAAATACCACAGTAAACAAATTGACGTTTAGGAACATATTTCACAATTGAAATTTTCTCAATTAATTAATTTTAGAATCAATTGTTTCTTTTTCATCATTAAGTAAATTTTATTTCTTATTCTTTATGAATTTGTTTACAGAATTCTTAAAATTCTTCAAATGTCGTCTTTTCAATAAAAATTCCCAGAAATCTACAGAAAATATTTGTGAACAAAGAGACATTACACAAACCAATAACTAAATAAGATAACTTTGTTGACTTTAAAAGTCACTATAGTAAAATAAAGAGATCTAAAATGGATATTTCTAACATTTATTTAAAAACGAAAGTTTTGAAATATTTGCATATAAGACGGAGTTAAAATTGGTTGATTTAGAAATTAACAAAGGAATTAATGATGAATATTTGAGGGCACTTCATGGGAGTGTTGTAGAGCTTCATGTTGGTGGAGAAGATCAACAGGAACTGGGACAACAGGGCTTATCAAAATCAGTAGGAAGAGATCGCGGCTTGTCATGCTGGCTATGAGCCATTATGTTGTCTCTGGAATGCATGATGAACTGGGAACCCTCGGGTATAAGCACGCCTGCTGTTAGCTGAAAATCTGTTTCATCATCATGAAGGAGTCAAGAGGCTCCCTGTGTCGGAGCTGTTACTAGCTCAACTCTCCTAACCTGACTGAGGGCTGGGATGTAAAGAGGGGTGAGGCGGGAACGAATGAGCGGCTTTTGACATGTGGGTGCTTCATGGAGGAAATAGATAAACACGTCTTGAGAAAAGGCTACGGCATTTGAGTTGGTAAAATCGTCTTCCTTATATTTTGAATTTGTGTTAACAAACTTATTTTCGATGATAATAGTTATTTTTAATTTGCTCAACCTTGTCCCAAATAACTCATAAGTTTACTGTAGAATTTTCCTACATTTTATGAATCATTTTTTAATTTACTTAGACCAAAGATATGAACAAAGACGATTATTAAAAACGATAAATCGTTTTTTTTAAATAGGTTTGGTTGATTTTTTTGGATAGTTTATTAAGAGATAACTTTTTGAAAAAACAATTTTGTTGTGTAATAAGTTACTCACATTCTTGTGAAACACTTTTAACGTCAAAAACCCTCAATATTCAATCATAACCTTCCAAATGTACTAGACTTAGATTAATGATTAAAGACTATTATTAATCTTAATTTTTTGCGCGGCATACATTATTTATTTTCCTCCCTTAGTGTCGTCTTCAATCTGCGCTGCCACGTGCTTTCCAGTAACCGGAAGCTTCTCGTGTGCCGGAAGTTTGGACAGGAAATAGATTGGTTTTGACGAGCAAACTACAAACAAGAATCAGAACATGTTTTTCAAGTTTATTCCGTCCACCTCATCAAGATTTTATCTTATTTTCTAATTTTCCCCCATTTTTATTCAAACTGTAAATCTTTGTTAGAAAACTTCGAAAAAGAAACAAGTTGAACCTTTTCTGTTTTTTTCTAAAATTTTTTTATTTTACTGCAGGGTAATAATTGAGTTAAAAACTAATTCTAAATCGATTCTACGTAAACTGTACACTTCAATCATCTCAAATATCTCTTTTTTATCGTACAAATTTATATTTTTGGTTATTTTTGTATTTTTTAACATATCAATAATGATGATATTGAATAAATAGAAAATAATAATCTTTCATGATTTTCCTTCTGTGTAGAGTCAGTAAACAAACAAGTTCTTAATCCAGGATTATCTGTCATGTTTTATATTTCTAAAAGAAAATAAACTTAATTGAAAGGATTGTAGACATAGACAAAGACATAAACACAGCCGTAGATGTAGCCGTGGACGTAGCTATAGCTGTAGACGTAGACATATGTAGAGGAAGACATAGATGTAGACATAGATGTAGACATGGATGTAGATGTAGATGTAGACGTAGACATAGATGTAGCCGTAGATGTAGCTGTAGACGTAGACGTAGACGTAGACGAAGACGTAGTTTTAAATGACCCTCCATTTATCTCAGTTGTTGTTTCAGGGCGAAAAATTTAAAGTTTTTTTGTCTTGGATGCTTAAATCCACAAGTCACTTTAAAGAGAAACTAAAATTGAGTTTGATTTTGGATTTAAAAAACCCAGTAGGTCTAAATTTTTGACTTCAAGACAACAAATCAATATGAAGACTGGAATAAAAATCAGGTGCGTATGAGAGTTTTTCGCCCCCCCCCCTCCCCCCTTAAAAATCCCTTAATTTACAAAAGCGTTGAAAAGTTTTTATCTATATTAAAGAACGTTAAATTTTTCATACTTAAGCTTTGCTTGATTTAGAACATAACATTATATGTCTGATGATTATATATTAGAGGTGCGAAAGAAATGAGTTCTCGCCACAAACTCAAAATTATAATCCCTATATATGTGCAACCCAATGTCGTAGATCTTTGATATTTCAGACAATGAATTCTGTTACATCAAACGTTTGAAATATCAAAGGTTTACACCATCAGGTTTTAAGAAAGGAATTGAGTTTTTGCCACAAACTAAACTCTTCTGATTTCAATATCTTAGCAATCTTTTGATGCAAACCTTTAATATTTCAAACTTAGATTATTTTATCTATAAGTATTAATAGCTTGAAATATCTAAGGTCTACGCCATTGGGTTACAAAGATATAGAGATTAGA